TCCTGATGTGCTCCATTTCAGCATGTTCATTGAAAGCTAATTACTCGGGCCATCTGTGGAGGGCCCGAGTATAGGTCAGCTGTTCTGCCCGTCTGTCTGTCCGTCTGTTTATGGTGACAACTGGAATTACCCAAAGCTTTTACATATCTCGTCATCAGGACACTGCACGTCATAATTACGAAGAACAAGGTAGTCCGAGTGTACACCTACTAGGCGTCTTCTTGTTTAAGATCACAAAGTAAAACCTGATACGGGACAAGGAGAACAAGGGGAAATACAAAATACAGTTTAATGATTCATAGAGGGAAATGGGCCTCTCCAACACCTATATCACTGATGTAAGAAGTAACTACCCCCGAAACAGTTATCCCACCTTCAGCAGCAACAACGACACCAAACTCTTCCAAAAACTTTAGAGACTTTGGTTCACTACGGAGAAATCTTGACCCGATCTTTTTCTCAAAACTACAACCCCAATTCCGAAATAGTTGGGATGAAGTGTAAATTGTGAATGAAATCATTTTTCAATGACTTTCAGATCACACGAGCCAATATGCTATTTACAATATAATAGATAACATTTCAAATGTTGAAACTGAGACATTTTACATTTTTATCCACAAAATGAGCTTATTTCAGATTTGCTGGCTGCAACAGGTCTCAAAAAAGTTGGGACACAGGCAAAGAAAGGGCTGAAAAAGCAATTTATATATAAGAGAATCAGCTGAAAGAACACTTTGCAATTACATTAACTGGCCTCAGGTGTGTAACATGATTGGCTATGAAAGGGATGTCTTAGAGAGGCTGAGTCTCTCAGAAGTAAAGATGGCCAGAGGCTCTCCAACCTGTGAAGGCTTGCGTAAAAAAATTGTGGAATACTTTAAGAACAATGTTCCTCAATGTCACATTGCGAAGGCTTTGAAGGTCTCATCATAGACAGTGCATAACATCATCAAAAGATTCAGAGAAACTGGAAAAATCTCTGTGCGTAAGGGACAAGGCCGAAGACCTTTACTGGATGCCCGTGATCTTCGGGCCCTCAGAGGCCACTGCATCACTCACCGGCATGATTCTGTCATTGACATTACTCAATGGGCCCAGGAATACTTCAAGAAACCACTGTCTGTAAACACAGTCCGCCATGCCATCCACAGATGCCACCTAAAACTCTATCATGCAAAAAGGAAGCCATTGTTGAGCATGATCCAGAAGCGCTGCCGTGTTCTGTGGGCCAAGGCTCATTTAAAATGGACTGTAGCAAAGTGTCCTGTGGTCAGACGAGTTCAAATTTGACAGTCTTGTTGGAAATCATGGGCTTTGTGTCCTCCGGGCTAAAGAGGAGAAAGACCACCCCTCCTGTTATCAGCGTTCAGTTCAACGGCCAGCATCTCTGATGGTATGGGGATGCATTAGTGCATATGGTGTGGGACACTTGCATGTTTTAAAAAGCACCATGAATGCTGAAAGGTATATAAAGGTTTTAGAGCAACATATGCTCCCCTCCAGACAACATCTATTCCAGGGAAGGCCTTGTGTATTTCAGCAGAACAATGCAAAACCACATACTGCAGCTATTACAACAGCATGGCTTCGTGGTAGAAGAGTTTGTGTGCTGAACTGGCCTGCCTGCAGTCCTGATCTTTCACCGATTGAGAACATTTGGCGCATAATTAAACGAAAAGTCCGTGAAAGGAGACTCAAAACTCTCAAGCAGCTGGAAGCCTGTATTAAGCAACAGTGGGACCAAATTCCAATGGCTAAACTCAAGAAACTCGTCTCCTCAATGCCTAGACGCCTCCACTCTGTGTTAAAAAGAAGAGGGGATGCAACATCATGGTAAACAGGCCCCTGTCCTAACTTTTCTGAGACCTGTAGCGGCCATCAATTTTCAAAAGAGCTCATTTTGTGGATAAAATTGCAAAATTTCTCAGTTTCAACATTTGTGTGTTATCTCTGTTCTACTGTGAATAAAATACTGGCTGGTGTGATTTGAAAGTAACTGCGTTTTGATTTTATTCACAATTTACACTTTGTCCCAACTATTTCGGAATTGGGGTTGTACTTTAATTCAAGACAATATTTAAGACACATTAAATGGTTTTCCAGAATGAACTCCCTTTTCAAGGTCCTGCGACAGCATCTCAATGGGGCTCAAGTCAGAACTTTAACCAGGCCACACCAAAACCTTCATTCTGTTTCTCCTGGGCCATTCAGTGGTAGACTTGCTTTTTTACTTCAGATTGTCTTGCTGCACAGCTCTACTAGGAATGAGCTTTAGATCACAGACTAATGACCAGATGATCATCTTCAGGATTTTTTGGAGGAGAGTAGGGCTGGGACAATTCATTGATACAATCGTGAATCAAAATTTTTTTCACTGAATGATAAGATTAACGGTTCAGAAACTGTCAATTTGATGCGTCTCAATATGTTACCATTCTTTGTCATCAAAAAGGTGTTAAACTGTGATAGAAGTAGCTGCACTGCCAGTTTAATGGTCGAGTTTACATGGTTCTCAGTCTGGGAGCTGAAACCCAGTTTCACACATTGTGGCTCTGAACAGAAGGCTGCATTGTCTGTGACATAAAACAGTGCATTTTCAGTTTAGCCCCCTGCTGCTCAATGCATTTAAGGGAAACACCAGAACAGGACTATTGCGCAATAACACATATCCTCCTCCAGGGCGAAAAGACAGATTTGAAAATGTTCAGTATTGCATTGCAATATGTGATGTAAAACTATGATCCAAGCCATGGACTCATACCCTCGCGCCACTGAAAATATTGGTCTAACGAATACAACCACAACCCTGTTTCCCAGAAGGTTGGGACGCAACGTAGAATATGAATAAAAACAGAATGCAATGATTTGCTAATCATTTAAACCCTGTATTTAGTGGAAAATAGTACAATGTATCAAATGTTGCAACTGACATATTTCTTTTTGAAACTATCTGCTTTTTAAGAATTTGATGTCTGCAACATGTTTCAAAAAAAAAAATTGGGACAGTGGCAACAAAAGACTGGGAAAGCTGTAGGATGCTTAAAATAATAGTGGCAAAGCCACTGCACCCACTTGGCCAATCGCAACATGGCTAAAATCGAACTTGGCCTAGATATTCATCCCACATACACACATACAGTGGGGTGCAAAAATGTGGGCACCCCTGGTTTAAATGTCTGTTACAATTAATCTTCAAGTGATTGAAAGAAAACCTGAACACTAAATGCTAAAATGTTAAACATGACATATTTCATTACATTTTAAAGCAAGAAGAATTTTTAACTTTTTAATAGTTTCAAAATAATAAAACAAGGAAAAAGGACTTGTGCAAAATTTTGGGAACCCTGTCAGCTAGTACTTTGTAACTCCTCCTCAGGCAGCTATAACAGCTTGCAAACGCTTCCTGTAGCCAGCTAAGAGTCTTTCAATTCTTGTCCTTGGAATTTTTCCCCACTTTTCCTGACAGAACACCTCTAGCTCAGAAATATACTTCGGCCTTCTTGCATGCACGGCATGGTTGAGGTCTCTCCACAGATTTTCAATAATATATCAAATCTGGGGACTGTGATGGCCATTCCAAAACCTTCATCCATCTTTCCTGGAGGTACTTCATGGTGAATTTTGAGGTATGCTTCGGGTCATTGTCTTGCTGGAATACCCAACGTCTCTTCAACTTCAATTTCCAGACTGAGCTTTGAACATTAGCCTCTAGAATGTCTTGATATTTGGTGGAATCCATTCCTCCTTCCACGCGCACAATATTGCCTGTGTCCCAGCCGCTACACAACCCCAAAGCATGATGGATCCACCTCCATGTTTAACAGTTGGCAGTGTGTTCTTCTCTACAAACGCTTCACCTTTTTTTCTCCAAACATACCTTCTTTGGTTGTGGCCAGAAAGTTCAATTTTGGTTTCGTCAGTCCAAAGCACAGTGTTCCAATAGGCTTTAGGTTTCTCAAGGTTCTCTTTTGCATACTTCAGACGCTTAATTTTGTGTTGAGGTCATAGGAAAGGCTTCTTTCTTGCAACTCTGACTTGTAGGTCTTTGTTGTTTAAGGTACGCTATATTGTTGTCCTGTGAACAACTAGACCTGTGTCTGCTACTCTTTTTTGCAGCTCTTTTGCAGTGATGTATGGGTTCTTCTGAGCATTTCTCACCAGATCTCGGGCCATTCTGTCTGAAATTTTTCTTGGTCTTCCAGATCTTGCCTTGACTTCAACTGTTCCATTTATTTTCCATTTTCTTACAATGTTTCTGACAGTAGAAATGGGTAGTTCGAAACGTTGCAAGAGTTTTTTGTAGCCCTCTCCTTGTTGGTGGAAGTGAATTATCTTGATTTTGACAACCATGGACAACTGTTTAGAGGAACACGTGGTTTTTAAACACCAGAAACAACAGCCACCACAGTCGGATACATTAGAAGGACTGGTGTTAGTTCAGAATATGTAGTTCAACCCTGGTATTATATTCACCTGACTCAGTGAAGCCCTAATGAGTAAATCACCTGGGTCTGGGCCTTATTAATCATCATCTTAAAAGGTATCAAAGAGGGGCACCCTGGTGGCTCATCGGTCTAAGCACGTGCACCACAAAGGCTGTGTCCTTTTTGTGGCGACCTGGGTTCGATTCCGGCTCGGGTCATTTGCCGCATATATTCCCCATTCTTCTCCCCAACCTTCCTGTCACTCTCTACTGTACAGCTGTCTAATAAAGGAGAAAATCCCGAAAAAAAAATCTTTAAAAAAAAAGTTAACGAAGAATAATCCAAAAGGGTTGCCAAACTTTTGCACAGGGCCCTTTTTCCTTTCTTATCATTAAAAAACTCAGAAAAATTAAAATAAAAAGAAACCTTGCTCTTAAATTTGCAGAAAGGTGTCATGTTTAACTTTGTAGCATTTAATGTTCAGGTTTGCTTTCAATCACTTAGAGATTAATTGTAACAGACATTTAAACTAGGGGTGCCCAAATTTTTGCATCCCACTTTATAAAATATGGCGGCACAGTGGCGTAGTGGTCAGCACTGCTGCCTCACAGCAAGAAGATTGTGGGTTCAAATCCGGCCTGTAGCCTTTCTGTGTGGAGTTTGCATGTTCTCCCAGTGTTCGCGAGGGTTTCCCCACCCAGAAAAACATGCATCACAGGAATGCTTCTACCAGTACCCCTGACCAAGGTACTGGTTTTAGAACAGGAGTTCTAAGCCCGACTGGCCTAAAGGCCAAGCGAGCAAAAATACATCTAGTGGAGCATCTGACAGCTAATTAAATTGACTGGCAACAGGTGAGTTGAGTAACATGACTGGATATAAAAAGACCATCCGAGAGAGGCAGAGTCCTTCAGAAGTAAAGGTGGCAAGACCTACCCCACTCTGTGAAAGACTGCATGGACAATTAGTTCAACAAATAACATTTCCCAACATAACATGGCAAAGAAATTAGGGATTTCATCCTCTTTGGTACACAATATCAGTAAAAGATTCAGAGAATTCAGAGTCTCAAAGCAAGGGACGAGGCCAAAAACTAATATTGAATGGCCATGATCCTCATGCCCTCAGGTTGCACTGCATTAAAAAAACAGCCAGGATTCTGTTGTGAAAAATCACTGCATGGGCTCAGGAGCACTTCTGAGGACCACCTTCAGTGATGCCCGTTTGTTGCTGAATCCAGAAACGCGAGTCAAGACTCTACCATGTTACCATAAAACCATAAATAAACAAGACCCAGAAACATTGCCGCCTTCTCTTTGCCTAAGCTCAATGGACTGAGGAGAAATGGAAAACTGTCCTGTCATCTGACCAATCAAAATGTGAAATTCTTATTTGTAAATCATGGATGCAGCATCCTGCAGGCTAAAGGGGAGAAGGACATCTGCCTTGTTATCAGTTCAAAAGCCAGCATGCCTGATGGTATTGGGGTGCATCAGTGCACCATGGCATGAGTAACTTGCACATTTGCAAAGATGCTGAATGATCTATTTTGGAGCAACATATGGCACCACCCAGACAACATGTTTTTCAGGGAAGGCCTTGCTTATTTCAACAGGACAATTGCAAAACCATGTTTTACAAGAATTACAACAACACAGGCCCGGCGCCAGGATGATGTGACTGAAGAGGCAATTACAAATAGCGAGGGGGCTAATCTTTTTACCTCGTTAAATACTGAGTTATCTTGTTATGCCTGAATCTACTTTTTTTCTGTCTGCGGGTGGTGGTACAGTGGCGTATGACCTTGGGAACGATTCCCCACCTTTTCCAAGCGTTAGCGCATCATGGTAATAACATGAAATAGAAATATTTCAATTTCAATTTCAATTTATTTAGGATAGCCCCTTGAGATGCAGCATCTCGTTTTCAAGGGGGTCCCAACACAAAACATAGAATTACAAGACACAAAACATAGATTGCAGTTCACAACATAGATTACAATGATACAAGACAGCTCATACAAACAAACAGCTCTTCCTCAAATACAACCCCGACATACTCCCCATCCCATCGCAAACTCTCAAACACAATCATAGTAAAAAGAAAAGTGAATAAATAATAAAATAATAACAATACAAGAACAATTCAAAAATAATAACACCAAGATAATAATAATAATACACATCAGAAGCACCAACATAATAATGCAACAATAGTAAAGTCATCAAAAATCAAGAGATATCAAACAAAACAATATCATCAGAAACTTGAACAGCTAGTTTGTAAGTGGGAAAATAATTGTGATCTAAAGCTATCAAAAGAGGTAACAGATTTTACGAAAGAGGGAAGATTATTCCAGTGAGATGGAGCTTTATACTTAAATGACCTGCGACCCATTTCCTTATGTATTTTTGGGATTGTAAAAATGGATTATTCATATGACGGAGGGGATATGGGGACAGATATGGGATCAGGAACTGTTTTAAATATAGTGGAACATCTAAATGGACACATTTAAAAAGAAATAATAACCAGGGAAACTGATGTCTGGATTTTGGATGAAGCCAGTTGAGGGACTCATACATGAGGCAATGATGGTTCTGAAAGGACATCAAGACAAATCTGCATAACGAGTTATATAAGGTGTTGAAGGGCTTCAGGATAGAGACTGTGGTGTTCTGATAAACAGTATCGGCATAATCAAGTATGGGAAATATTAGTTGGGAAATGATTCTTTTGAGGTATACTGTCCGGTCACCACACCACCCAAAATTATTCTGGTCGTAGGTTTGCTTAGAGTTATTGATTCAACAATGGAAAAGCATCTGAAAGGCTTAAACACAACAACTACTGTCTCAAAATCAAATTATAAATTTATTTCACAACCGTAATGAAGCCAGTATTAAACCTGAGTCTCCTCGCACAATTTAGGGAATCGGAGCACTTGGAAAGTAGGCCTACAAGATGCAAAATAATAAAATTTATGAATGATTCTAATGTAATGGGGAAAAAAAAAGCCACTAGATAGCAGTATTGACAATTTTTTTTGTTAAGCCCAGTCTGGAGCTAGGTTGGGCATGTCCTGGGCATGCCTCAGGGGGGCTGGACAAGAGTATAGAAGGAGAAAAATTGAGAGAGTGGAGGAGTAGTTGGAGAAATTGCAAGGAGAAATTGTGGAAGGATACATTTGACCAGACCTGTCACTCTTTTCAAGACCTGTGAAGCTTTTTGTGGATTTTTGCCTGTGTTGGAGCATTTTCCTGTCCCAGGACATCGCAACATAGCAGCCCATCTCAATTACCAAGGGACTGTAACTATCTTTTTTTTTTTATTTCAATCTTGGTCAGTAGGGTAGATTGTAGATTAGTTCTAAGTGTTTGTTTAATTAAATCTGTTGAAGTTGAAGAATTTTGTCTGTCATCCCTTGCTGTCCGTGACGCCATAACAAATTGGGGCCATAACACTAACCACTGAGAGATGATCTCTAAAAACAACAAAATAACTACCTGCAGTGTCATATGTCCACCTGGACTGGGTCCTCCGTCCCAAGATCGGAGTTGAGGCGGGCAGTGGACCCATTACGACTGTGCTGGTTGTGGCCGGGACCGCCAGGGTAACATCATCTGCGGCTGGTGGAGCTAGCAGATTCTGTTTGGACTCGGCAATATCTTAGCTGCAGCTGGGGCAACTGGCACCAGCTGAGGTGTTCCGTTTTTTCCTAAAAAGCCACTTTCTGATATCCATCTTCTAACCTGCTTTATTTTGCTAACGGCAAGGAAGCAACTTTACGCAGCGGTGAAATTAGAAACTTTTTGGCAGGCTAACCAACTTGGGTGTTACCGGTGTCACAGCGTGCCGCGACATACAAATCTATTTGACAACTCAGAACAAGCAGCATGGGGGGGGGCGAAGAAAATACAACAGAGGGGGCAAAGCCCCCTTTAGCACCCCCGTAGCACTGGGCCTGCAACAACATGAATCTGAATCAAAAGTGCTAAACTGGCCAGCTTACAGTCCAGACCCATTGCCCACTCAAAACAATTGGCACACTATGAAACAAAAATCACGACAAAGGAGATCACAAAGCGTTGAGCAGCTGAAATCATACATCAGGCAAGAATGGGAAACCATTTTGCCTTGAGAACTACAGCAGTTGGCCTCCTCAGTTCCTAAACACTTGGAGTGTGGTTCAAAGAGGAGGTGATATGACATAATAGTGAACCTGCCCCAGTCCTAACTTTTTTGAAGAGTGTCACTGGCATTAAATTCAAAATGAGCATACATTTTTCAAAACACAATAACATTTCTCAGTTTTAACATCTTATATGTTGTCTTTGTTTTACTTTCAGTATACAGACAATATGATTTGCGAATCATTGCACTCTTTATTTACATTTTACGGAGCATCTCAACTCTTTTGGAAATGGGGTTACATTAATTCACTTACAGGAAATTGGATCTATTTAATCAAAAACATGATGCTTCTTTTCTCTAACATTTTGAAACCTGCATTGATGTGTGAGCCTGAGTACAGTGAGCATAGGTCTACTTGGCCATTTTTTTGTTTTTTTTTTGCCAGCTAACAGCATTTGACTGCACTTGCAAGGTTGCATTATTGATCAGTAAACTAGTTTGACTGGAATACAGATATTTTGCCAAACCGGCTACTCCTGGGAAGATTGACCATGGTTCCAAGTTCTCAAATTGTCATTTCCTGCACAAGCACTCCAACTCATGTTTATTGCTTGGTTGCAAATCCTTTGCAGTCAAAAACTGCCTGTTGTCTGGAACCCATTGACATCACCAGACGTTGGTTTTCTTTCTGGTGATGGTCTGCTAGGCGTACCCATTGGCGATCTACGGTTCCTGCCTATTCTAGGGTCATGTTGCCGTCAGCAAGTGAATCCATGGACAAATGGATTCGAGAAAGGTTTTAAACTTTGTCATTGTAGAACCTTCCACTTTGCCTTGAAATGATCTTGGATTGCTTGAGCCATCTGCTTTAGGTCATAGAACATCTGCTGTTTGAGGCGCCATCAATGAGTTTTGAAGCATTTTGAGGCTCAACAGTAGTTTAAAGTGTGTAAAGAACCCTCTATATTTACCCTGGTGAAGTGTTCTCTGGAACACTTGTTGACATTGACACTAATATGCCTACCTCCTGAAGAGTGTTCATGGTCTGGCCACCTGCAGTGAAGTAGTTTTTCCTTACCAGGGAAAGCATTCACCAGTCATCCATCACAGTTCCTTGCTGCAGTCTTCCAGGCCTTAAGAAGTTCTTGACTTCATCAGTGCTTTCCTTCCTTCCAAGTGAACCTAATAGATGACTTCACTACATCTAATGGCACTTTCTTTTGGATGGGTTTGTTTTAATTCTTTAGCCTAAAGGCAGCCAGCTTCACAGGTAGTGACAGCTTTTTAAACCCCATACTCGCAACAGCAAATTACAAATGCAAATGCAAATGCAAATGCAAGTGCAAAAAAAAAAAAAACTCCTCTAGGCCACTTATCTGCTAACTTTTCATTGATATGAGGGGAGAACACACTCTTGGCCATCAAACAGTAGTGCAGATAACTGTCCTGAGGTAGGGTACTCGTATAAAATCCGTTTGTCGCTAGGCCGCATACAGGGCATATGAGCATACGG